ACCCCGTTTTTGCAACTCGCCGCTAGCCAGAGACTCGACCGCCCAACGCCCGCCGCGAGCCGCCGGGAGCCGTTGCTGCCCAGCGGCCGTTAGCGCTGTTGGACCAGCCACAGGCCAGCCGCGAAGTGAACGCCCGCGGGAGATGCGATGTGCAGTGGGCCAGAGCTGCGGATGTTAATCTCCCTCCCGCTAATTTAAATGCTCTAATTACTCCTTCATGGGAGGGTGAGAAAGATGTCTCCAGCCCCTCAGATATAATACCTCATGCATGCACCCCTAAATCTGCAGGGGGTGAAAATCGCGAAAGTAGCGTTCTCGTGTTGTGTGCAGAATCTAATAGCAGTGGTGGACTCTCCCGGCCCCTAACTAGATAGTGAAGAACTGCAGTCGACACGTACTGAGAGCGGCGAGGTGCAAGCTGTAGAAGACACCTCCACTTGGGGTAACGTCAGTGCGATCAAGTTAGCACTCATTTGTAACCGACCCCCCTTTCCTGACCGTCACACTTAGCTGTGTCAGTTCCTGCTCCCATGAAATGTGCTTTAAAATCTTACTCTTCTCCACAGCCCTTTCTGTTCTGGTAGATCTACTTCAAGTCTAGTTTTTCAAAGATATGAACGTCTCATAAAAATTGTTTGTCCTTCGAGCCACAGCTCACTTCCTCTACGGAGCGCTGACGACTCCGAGTTGCCTGCAGCTTGCCTCTTTTTGCAAAAGGGCCCTTTATACCTACTTCTTAGGATGTTCTTTTTTAAACACTAGGAGCTCCTGAAGACGAACTGTGCCCCTTTGGTCGACCAACCCAGTTCCTGCTCAGTCCTAGGCATGAATTTGGTACTCAACAATGCTGCATGGGTGGGAAATAAGGTCCAATATGCCCTTCAGGAAAGAAACCACAGACAGGCACCTAACTGGCTTCTATGACTTCAAGCTTGGAGGACTGCCTAGGATCAAGAGTCATTTAAGTGTTTTTTACATGTTAAGTGATTCTTATTTTTGGCCCTCCACTGCTCCCCTAAGCTGCTCCCCTAAATGCCGTTCTTCTTTGCCTAACCCTGGATCTTCCTTTCTTGTGTGGATTGTTCCTCCCTAGCCTTGTTCTCTCTCCTTTCCAAAGTTATTTCCTCCAGAAAAGCCATTTTTATTGCTGACAGTGCTTTAATATACACTGTTTTGTACTTTATAATTTACATTGCCTGTCATCTTGAATTCAAGTTGCAAGCATTGTCTTTGATACCATGCAGCTACATCGAATTTGTCTTTGATTGCAGGTGTACAATGAAAAAAATGGAACTGAAAAACAATTAGAAATCTATTTTTTGAAATGAAGATCCAATGAAAATGAACAAAAGAAAAATCAAAAGAATAAACTGCAAAGCTAGAAACAGATGAGGAACTGTATTGGCAGCACACTGGGAAGAAGAAAGGAACTGGAAGGCCTTATACAATTATTCCAAATATTTTATATGATGGGGAAAATGTTTTAAATTTTCAGTCTACATCCAGCCTATGGACTAAGTTTAAAATGTATCTGTGTTCCATGTCTTTTGCAGCAACTTGGATGGAGCTGAAAAAGATCATGCTTAGTGAGATAAGCCAGAAAGAGAAAGAAAAATACCGGATGGTTTCACTCATAGCAGGAGTATAATGGACCAGGCGAGAAAATAACAAAAATAATGAACAACCATACACCAGAGACATTTTGCGAGGGTGGAGTGGGGAATGGGATCAAAGGGGGGGGGGGGAAATGCACGGGATTATGGTGATGACACACGGGTGACTTGGTGATGGGAAACCCGCGGGGATTACAATTGAGATGGAAAAAATGTACAAAATGATGTAAAAATAAACTTTTGAAAAAAAATGTATCTGTGTTCATAAGGAAACCCAGTCTTGGTGAACCTTGCTGCTGTACTTAGCATTTACTTCACTAACAGGAAACAATATGAAATATTAAACTCAATTCCTTTTTGAATAGTCTAGTCAAACTATTAGAATAAGAAGGAAGTAACATTGAGAAAACATATGTAAAGGACATAGGTCAGTACACTGACATGGGTAACCTTTGAGTTTGTTGCAGATGAGCTGCTCAAACAGTACTTTAATAAGGGAAGTGCTAAGTAGCTGATCACCAAACCAGGAGAAAAACTAAAGAAGGCATAAATTATTTTCTGCATGATTTAACTTAGATAAGATAAAGAAATTACACAGTAGCCAGAAAAGCCTAAGGAACCCCAAAAGAGGATGTAAATGCAGTTACCATCTGAAATCTCTTTTGCACTACAAACAGCATCAGACCTTCGGCCAATTGTCTGAATGCTTGATTGGACTGACTGCTGCTGACTCGGGTAGGCAGCATCCAAGAACTCCCATTATCACAATTCAAAAAGATTCAGGGATTATAGGTGGGATAGTCATGGTTTTTTATAATCTAGCCCCAAATTGCCCTTTTGTTTTATATCTCACTGCTGATGTATGTAAAGGTATTTATAAGTCTCTGTGATGAGGGACTAGGAAACTGAGTTGGTCCCTGCCTCTCAAAGTTTACAATCAAATTGGGGAAACAAAGCACATACCCAAGAGAGTGGCTACAGTTACATACATATGTAAGAACAACAGTACATAAAATGTGCCAGGCACAGTGCTAACCACTACAAGAGTAATATCAGTAAGCCCAGACAATCCATCTAACAGACATTTTTATTACTATGCCCATTGTACAATTTTTAAAAATCTAGGAGAGGTTAAGAAACCTGCTGAGAGACACAGTTAACTACAGAACCAAGCAATCTGATTCCAAAATACTCTTCATCATGAAGAAGTATAGTTGATATTGTGTTATTTACAATACATACAGATTAACTTATAGTCACATATAGCACTAGTTCACCAATTTCTACCAGGGCTTACATAGCTGTAATTCTGGAAGAGGGTGAGTAGGTTATAGTTTCCACCATTCTCACTGATAAAAGGAAATTCATATAATACATTGTTTTAAGTGTCCATTTTAAATTTTAACTTCTACATGAGGAATACATCCTCTAAACAAGAGGTGCAAAATAAAAGCTTTTCACACTAAAACTCAATTCCCAATATTTCTATTTCATACCAAATTTGTTTCCTACCCCACCTCCAGCAAAATTCAAATGTCAGTTTCATGCACACCTTAATTGTGAGCCACATTTCCAAAAGATTGGAACTGTAGATGGATATTTTAATTAAGTTATACTTAACATGAAATCCATCCTAGAATGAAGTCCATTCACAGGCAGATCAACTAGTCAGTCCCTGTAAAACTGTCAATCCTGAGCATACTGTCAATCCTGAGCATCCAGAACATATTATTTGTGATGATAGAACTTTCTTTGTCTATCTGAGAGCATCACGGAGCACTGTAAAACAAACTGGCCCCTTTGATTCAATCCATAGCTGATTAAGGTGAAGAGGAGTCATGGCTCCAAGGGGAAATACCTCAAGTACCATTAGCTCACTGTGCAATCAAGTGTAACCACAGTGGTATTCTCTTACACACAGTATTCATATGCACATCTGCTTTTGAACTAGAGCTACCTTCACATTTGACCTCTATGAAAAATTATCATTTGTGATAAAATCTGCAAAAATAAAATACATTGATCTAGAATGACTGGTCATATCCCAGCTAATGATAGTTAAATTTGGATTCTTGTCATCAGTTTTAGTCTTAGAAAGTCTAAGACTAGTCTTAGATTTAAATGGCTTTCATTTTTCTCTTTGATGCATGTAAACTGTGTTTTACACACCTTTAAAAATTATTTTTTTAAGATTTATTTACTTAGGCATACAGACCTGGGATACAGGCACAGGCACAGGTGTGGTGAGAGGATTCACCAGAGACAGAGTGGGAGCAGAACAGGTAGATCAAAGTACACTGCTGAGGGGAGCAGCAGGCAGGTCAGGAGAGGTCTGTCTTACCATGTGAATCATCACCTCTAGGGCGGGGGATTGAACTCATGCTGAAGTGGCTTTAGCTTCTTAGTGCTGTGCTTTTAACCCACTGCACCACCAGGGAGGGCCCTAAAAATTAGTTTTACACAATAAAACCATAGCACAGTTAAGAGGATATAGAATTGACCAAAATAAATTTATTGTGCATATGAAAATACAGGTAAAGTTACCAGTTATTGCACAAATTTAATAAAAGCACATAATAGGTAGTTCAAGGAAAAAAAGCACATAAAGTATGTAAACTGCTAATTACGCCTATGCTATTTCAAAGACTGATCTATAATTTGACTTTTTCCTTACCCATTTTTGAAATGAGTTCATTTTCAAAATATAATTCCACTTTTCAAAAAGCTGAACACATATGAATCATTCTGTGCACTGGATGTACAAATATATGTACAATTTAAATTTGTAAATCAACCACTGTGCTAAATGTGAGAAAAGCACATTTAATGAAAGATTTACTGTTACGAATATTTTCCAAAAGTGAACATTCCTTTCTTAAAGTGAGTAACCACTCTCTCTCTGGCTTACCTTTAAGAACAACATTATATGAAAATCAAAATTACATAACTGAGAATTAGGCAAACAATAATAATTTTCTTTAAAGGTGCTATCTTAAGCATCCAATGTTGGAAATTTTCTAAGTTAAATTATAAATAAGTAGCATTGTGTAGCACTTTACTATGTACCAAAGCAATCTCAAATATATGTGATTCTCATAAAAAACCTACAAGGTAGACAGAACGGCTCCTTACATCTCCATTGGACAGATGAAGTTTGGAAAAACTAGTCTCCAATTTTCCATCTTTTTTTCACTCTCCCAATGAAGACATGATTAGATTGGAAGTGAAATGTTTCATGTTTGTGTCCTATTAGGAGGAGAACTACCCTAGGACTCTAGCTTTTAAAGCAACAAGTAATGTTTGTGAGCAAAAAGTATTTTACAAACCTGAAAAGTATATATGTGATCTATATTTACGCTATCTACGCACAGATATATGCACCTATTCAAAGACCTTCGAAACATAGTTGCTATGTAAGGCAATGAATACATGAGTGATCCTGAAAACAGAGAGGACTGTATCATTAATTTTCATGGATCAGAGCTGCCATCACCACTACCTACCCTCAGTCTGAAGCACTTTCTTTCAAATTATTATATAAGAAAGACAATCTTCTATTTTGCCTGATTTTGGTATCTCTTGGTTGTCTCAGTTTCTTGCCTAACCTAACCTATCTATGTTAGACACTTCAGGGAGGGAAACTGGATTACTGGAAACCACAGCTTGAAAAAATACTTTACATATTCTCTTTCACTCTTCAGCTCTTGTGTAGTTGTTGTCTCTAGAAATAAAAAAAAAAAAATCCATCAGTTCATTCCTTGTATCCCTATAAAAGAAAAACTAGTGTTATCTTGCAAGAGACTGCTTTTTCATCTTAGCTGAGAACAACCATATATTTTTCCCAGACCTTTGATATTTTGTCTCTTACCATTGACCTTAGCAGATATTTCTAGCAGAATCACACAGCAGGACGAAAAATCTTTAAGTCATTAAGGATAATGATTTACCTTAAGAACCAGTTGCAACATGAGTGCTAATAGTTTTATGGGAGCACATAATTTTTTTTTGCTGTCGTCTGCCCTTATAAGTCAATCACATTCAGTTAATAATCACTTCATATGTTACTAATGTTACTGTTCTCCGTTCATTCAATACCCGTTTATAACATACATTTTCAACCTGACCCTGGGAGAAGCATATGCCTACGGAGATGAGGATAAGTAAGACATCACAATTTTTTCTGTGCCCATGTCAAGAACGTAAGTCTTAAAGAAGGCTAAGGATATCATTACCATTCCCCACCACCACCACAGACTTACACGAGACTTTCAACAACAACAAAAAAATGGTAGGGGACATAACTAGCATAATGAGAGAGTTGTCTGTATTCAAGATATCACCTTATTTATTCAAAAAGCTGAAACTGTCAGGTATGATTTCCCCCCAGCGCCATTACTTCCCACTACAAAATTATAGCAGTAAAAACTGTAGTGAAGAGCATACTTTCATTTTCTTTTATAAGCTATTAGTAATGTACTTTGCCAAAGTTAACATTAAGTCCCTTTATCAACAGTCACAAAATAAAAACCCTTTATCAAAGCAATTTTACTCATAAGAATTTAAGTTCAAACTAACAGAAGCTAGCTATATGAAGCTGTTCATTACACATTATGCTATCTGAGAGTAAGGAAACCATTAGATAAATTATGATTGTGAGCTAGATAAAATAAAGGATAATTGTAAGAATCTTGTAACAATAAAAAAGGATTCGTTATTTAAGGGACAATTAAAAAAAAACACAATTGTGTGTGTGCATGTGTGTTTCTCAACCTTGACACTATTGACATCTTGGATTGGATAATTATTTCTCTGAAAGGACCATGACTATAGCATGTATAGTATCTTGATTCATTTCCACTAGATGCCAGGAGCACTACCTGCCATCAGTGTCACCAGACATTCCTAATTCTGCCTTAGTGGACAAAATTGCCCCCTGCTGAGGTCCCTGCTGAACCTATGGATAGTGTATCTTCTGTATCTTTTAAATTTTTTAATATTTTTGCAATAAAAACATTAGGACATTAAAATAAAATTGAACAATGTTTTGATTTATAAACACATAAAAATTTATCTTTAAAGATTAATACACATATTATTATTAGAGATCATTTTAATCTTCCCTCTATAATTACATCATTAAAAAATTTTATTTAGATGCTTGCAAATCATTGTTCAGAAATCCATAAAACCTAATTATATGTGATTTATACAGGAAGGACACAATGATGCCTTCCTGAACCAGCATCATTTTTATTCTGCCAAATGCTTTCTGTAGCTAGCCCACATTCAGAATTGCTGCAGATTTCAAAGAGAACTTTGCATAAGAAAAAAAATGAACTCTGAATTATTTCATCACTGATAGTGATCTCTGGATTTGAGGAACTACTTAATGTACATTTGGTTTCAATGAAAATGTTTGTAAAAATATTTTAACAATGCCCAGTTTTATTAAAAATTATACTAATAGGCCCTCCCTGGAGCCATCATAGCCACTGCAGCATGAGTTCCATCCCCAGCCAGGGAGGTGACACACATGGCACAGCAGACCTCTCCTGACCTGCCCACGGCTCCCCTCAGCAGTGTATTTCAGTACATCTGCCTGTTCTGCTCCCCACTCTGTCTCTGGTGAATCTTCTCACCCCACCCCCACCACACACCTCTGACCTAGTTCCCTGTATGCAAAAATAACTTCTTTAAAAACAGTTAAACTTGGTGGGCAGTTCATGGGGATTACAACTGAGATGGAAAATGGCACAAAATGATGTAAAAATGGCACATTATGATATAAAAATAAAGTATTATATTACTTTAAAAAATTTAAACTAAGGATTATAGCAGCTAACATTTGCAGAATATAGTGCTCAAGCTTCCATTTAATGGGTGAAAAATGGAACCTCAGGTATGAAGGTGTGCTGGGAAATACAGCAAGTATGTCACATAGACAAAAGAGCAGGTAAGCTGTCTAGCACTGTATGGCTGGGAAAGAATAAAAAATTGTCAACATTTATGTAGCCATTCTGTTCCTGTTCTACTAGAACAGATGATTAAAAACTTTTAAAATTCTCAATGATATTCTGAAAAGAAATATAGGAAGTGGGTGTGGGTAGTAATTACACACCTTTTCCTGTCCTAGGGCATATACTGTCTTTAAACTTGTTAACAAACACAGGGTGTTTGACATTTGAATTAGCAAGCTAATGCTGGAGGATTTGAATGCTGAGAAAGAAAGGAAGAGAAAACATTGTGAACAAAAATCTGGAGAGAGGAAAGTCAAAAGCTGAGTCTCACCGTCCCTCACTTCTACTCCATCCTGATCCATGTGGACTTATGTTCTTGTGACAAGTGTTAGAAATTGCAAAACCCTTCTCCTGATACTCTGAGTACATACGGAACTGTTTTGAGACCCAGGTAGTGAAGAACAGAGTTGGCTGAGGCATCGTCTTCATTTCTGCAGGGGTGGAGTAAAGCTAAGGCGTAACGTGCTTATAGGGGAGGGCAGCAGAAGAGCAGAATTGACATGGGGCCAGTCATCAGGCTAAGAGCTTCAGATTCTGAGCAAGGAACTGCCATCAGGAGTCTGGGTCGCCTACAGGAATATAAGCAGATTTGTTCCTACACACATGCAAGAAACCAGTCACAACTCCCATATTGTCTGCTGGAGATTTCGTGGAGGGGAGTTATGGAGGCCTTTTTTTTTTTTTTAAGATTTATTTATTTATTCATATGGAACTGGGGTACAGGCCAGTGGAGAGTGAGAGGATTCACCAGAGATAGAGAGAGGAGCAGAACAGATCGATAAAGTACACTGCTGAGGGGAGCAGTGGGCGGGTCAGGAGAGGTTTGCTCGCCATGTGGATTGCCTCCGGGGCAGGCGGGGATCGAACTCATGCAGAGGTGGCTTTAGCTTCTCAGTGCTGTGCTTTAACCCGCTGTGCCACCAGGGAAGGCCCTATGGAGGGCTTTTAAGTAGACATGTATTGTTAATGTGATTTTGGTTTCCACAGACTGACTAGGTGTGAACAATCATATCTGATTTAGAAAAAAATCCCATTGGTTCCCTGTTTCATATTCCGCAAGTATCCCTCACTTTATAAAGCAAATCGTTCAGAAAAGTTAACTCTACACAAATTGTAGAACAAACTTATTTCTACATAATAAAGTCTTTAAGTATAATTTACGTACATAGTAACCACTACATTTCTTCCAGTAAGAGAAAAAATTCCAATGAATTGGATTTAAAACGCGTGATAGGAAGGCTAAGTCAGAGCTTGCTGGTATTGATGAGCCAGAAAGGGCACCTCCCCTGGTTGAAAATCATTCCTCCATTTTAGCCAATGCCATGGTCTCTCATGATCACAGCTACCAAATTTGTAATCTGGATTTATGAAACTGAAAGACTGAGTTTGTGGGCCTTCCCTGGTGGCACAACAGGTTAGAGCACAGCATTATGAAGCTATCCGTAGCCACTGCAGCATGAGTTCAATCCCCTGCCAGGGAGCTGACCTTTCCTGTCTTGCTCACTTGCCCCCCTCAGCAGTGTATTTCCGTACACTTTCTGTTCCGCTCCCCACTCTGTCTCTGGTGAATTTTATCAGTGACCGCACCTTTGGCCTGTACCCCAGTTCTTGTACACACAGACTGACTAGGTGTGAAGAACAGTATAAATAAATAAATCTTTTTTTTAAAAAAGTGACTTTGTAATAGCATTGTGTCTGCAGCACTACAATCACTACAGCAAGTTAAAATCTGCTTTAAATGATGTAGAACAAATCCATTCCACAGTCATTCTAAAAGCTTAGAATGTTTTTGTTGTTGTTGTTATTGTTATTGTATAATGGAGGGAGGTTTTCTATGAGAAACCCAATTAGGGTTTTGACTGGGGCTGAGTTCTCCCTCAGGGATACACGGCATCAAAAGAGTATAAGTGACTGGGTCCCACCAAGCAGAATCCCCTGTCCCCTTAGTGACATTGCTTCTTTCAGAGCTGTGTATGTGACCTAGCAAAACCTATCTGGATCACTTTGGGGGTTTTTTTTGTCAAAGCTGTTGGGAAAGACTGCTATTTTTGCTGCATTTACTAAACTGAAATCATAGACTTCTGGGCTGGAGAAGCACAGAGATAACGCAACCTGGAGACAGAGAAGCTGCCCTGATAATCATTTAAAACCTGGACCCAGTTATATCTGAAGCCCACTCCATCATGACTCCCCTTTCTGTTCCGGTCCACTCTGGAGCAGTAAAAAAATTCCAGTTAGGTCCCCTGATAGCCAGACTACCTGTGGACTAAGCCCCAAACTTGTTATTTACTTCATTTGTATATGGCCTTTGTCAGTATCTCAGAGTATTCCACTGGCTGAACTCTTGTGGGAAAGAGCACTTTACACGATGAACAAAGTTTCATTAACCCTAACCAGGTTAAATTCTCACTGTGTTCTCAGTTCCCCTTGGTTTTGTGCTCACAAAAACGGACATTCTGCAATTGCTTGTTTCCTCTCTCCCTTTACGTCTTCTTGACTAACATGTTCATTTTGCCTGAATTTACTAACTTAATATTACTGCTACTATGTAGATAGCTTTTCTTCCTCCTACATAGATTATCTCTCTGAACTTTTCTTTAGAACTAATTGTTCATTCAACCCTCCCACCCCCACCCCCAAACCTCCTGTCATAAGCCAATAAGTTCTTCTTTCGCTTTAGTCTGTTTGGGTAGAATTTCTTTCA